GGCACATAACAACAACAACATATATATGTATGTAGTTTCATACATTATTTAAAAACATTACCACATGCAAGGAGTAAAAATAAACTCTTCAAAAAAGAAATAAAACTAGCCCAGAAATATGAAAATACTTAATGTACATTTAAAACAGATACTAATGCCTATTCACTTTAAAATTTTTTATGTGTGTGTGATGGTGGTAGTATTTTCATTTGCATTATAATGATTATAAGGTTAACAAAATTACAATCACTTTTCATGTATTAGTAGAAGAACAAAAGTTCATCTGTAGGCCACATGATAGTATATGGTTTTATTTTCTAAAAAAACTATAATATTCTTTGTATGTTTGTCATATTCCCAAAATTTTCTATACTAACTTTCTGGAGGAAGATGCAAGATAGTTGACACAGCAAACAATGGAATATTACTCAGCTATAAAGAGAAATAAAGTCCAAATACATGCCATCACATGGATGAACCCTGAAAGCATTATGCTGAGTGAAATAAGTCAGCTACAAAAGGACAAAAATTTTATGATCCCATTTATATAAAATATCTAGAACAGGGAAGTATATAGAGATCAGAGATTATTAATGGATACCAGGGTTGGGCAAGAGTGAAAAAGAAGACATAGCTCTTAGGGGACACTGACCTCTTGTTAAAGAAGATGGAAAAGTTTAAGATTGGTTAAGGGTAATGGTTGGGCAACATGATGAACATATTTAAAGTCACTGAACTGTATATGTGAAGAAAATTCAAATGGCAAATATTTTGTTACCAACATATTTACCACAATTTAAAAAAAAAAGACACGATAACAGATTGTCATACTGTGGATTCTTACCCATATCCTCTTTGTGGCAGACATTCTAATATGTCATAGCAAAGAGAGAGTTGGTCATTTCGTTCACAGTTATAGATGCACTCCAATGCTATTGCCATCAACTGGTCCTGATCAGGTATTATTTTTTGCTGGAGCTATGGAAAATAAAGTATGTGTACTTAATATCCACAGATTTATCGTCAGTTTTCTCAGTACCACTATCAGTAGAATCCTAAATAGTACAATTAATCAGCTGTAGAAAAAAAAATCTTGATTTTTCTTTTGCTTGCAGACTTTTGAGGCCTTTAATTATTCTAAATAAAATCACATTTTAATTACAGAATTAGCTAGAAAAAGATAATTTGTAACCCATAGCTTTACATCTGCTGAAAACAGTCTTCAATTTATGATCCATTCACAATAAAGGAGTTAGAAGAAACATAATCAATTAAAAAACCAATTAAATAAAAATATTTCTAACCCTATAGCTAAATTTTATGTGTTTCAATTTTAAAAAAATACTTAAAATTCCTTAACTAATATTCACAGATGTTAGAACCTACTATTTTTCACTGTACATAATATGTATCATTTAAACATATAATATTTTATTCAAAAGAAGTTGTATTATAATGCATTCATACAAAGATCACAGAAAAATATATTCCATATTTCTAATATAGAAAAATGGCTATTTTGGGTCAGTTTCTACATAGGATACACAATTTCCCATAACAAACTCCAGATTCCCAAACATGGATTATTTTCTGGGCTACAAAAATAAACCTTATTTATTTCCTTCAATATTCTCTATTTGAATACAGGTTATAGAGGTTAATTTATGCAAGGAAATAACAAGGTGGTTATAAGAAAGAGTTCTAGAGCTAGACTATCATGGTAGAAATCCTGGCTCTGGCCTATAACTAGTTTTGTGGTCAAGCTACTTTAAACATTTGTGCCTTGCCTTTTGGATCGCTAAAACTAAGATATCAAAATCGCCTTCCAAATAAGGTTTCTTTGAGGATTAAATAGATTAATACTTGTAAAACATCCATATTATTACCATCATAAAAATCAAGTGAAAGTTTGAAAGTATTTTCTTGAAGCCATCTTCAACAATATAAATCTGAGATAATCTCCATAATAATGATCTATTCATCCTCAACATTTCATTACAACTATACCAATATACACAAAACAGGTAGGAAAGTGATGGAGAGAAGTTGTCAAAGTCATTTTCTCAGTAGAAAATCACTAAATCAATTGATTTAAAAATAAAACAAAATTACTCAAGGCTACCAGGGAAATAGAAGTTTTCTAGAGTGACTGGGTAAAATAATTTATAGACATTTCTTCGAGGAATTAAGAAAAAATATATATTATCCATTTGACATAACATCTGAAAACCAGTTATCCAAAGCCGCAGTGACAAACTGGTGAAATAGGCAAGCAGGACATAATAAGTATTATTAGCAATTAATAAATTAGCTTACTCTTCCTGATTTTTTACTGTATGCCAGGTATTATTTCTAAGCACTTTACATGGATTAATTCATATCCTTATAACAATACTATTAGTATTACTATTATTACTAGTTTACATAAAAGAAAATCCAAGGCACTAAGAAGCCAAATAATTTGCCCAAGGTCAGAGAGCTAGTGATAAAGCTAGAATTCAAATCCAGAATCTGAACTAAATGATGGGAGACTGCTCTCACAACTCTGCAGAGTGGAAATGACTGAAAGGAAAAACGATGGCATTAAACAACTCAAATACAGCAAGAAAACAAACCAGGAAGATTTATTAAAAAAAAAAAAAAAAAAAAACACCTAGTTTCAGTCAAGGAACAATTTGGAAAACCATCTGAAATAAAAGCCAAAGTCTTTGTTTTTTTTAATCTCGCTTTCTTTCATCTAGAATCCATACACAAAATCTTGTGCTGAAAACCCTTCAGTATCTCCTCAATCTGAAAAGAAAAATTTCCCTGCCTATTGCTCCAGCTCCTTCATGACCTAGTGCCAACCACTTCTCTAATTCTATGAGTCACTACTCTTGGTGGTTCAAACCCACTAGCCACTCCTCAGAAGGTAGATTGGGCAATCTATTTCCACAGAAATACTGCCTCGGAAACCCAAGGAGTGGTTGCTATGAGTCGAACAGACTCCACGGCAGAGAGTTTTGTTTTGTTTTAATTTGCTTTTACCTAAACATGTCATTAGGAGCTCTGGTAGCATAGTGCCTAAGGCATTTGACTGCTAACCAGAAGGCTGGCAGTTCAAACCCATCAGCCACTCCTCAGAAGGAAGGCTGGGCAATCTACTTCCGTAGTGATACCGCCTCAGAAACCCAAGGAGGGGTTGCTATGAGTTGGGTCCGACACAACGGCAAATAACAACAAACATGTCATTAAGGAGCTTTAGTAGCGTAGTGTCTAAATCATTTGACTGCTAACAAGAAGGTCAGCAGTTCAAACCCAACAGCTGCTCCGTGGAAGGAAGATGGGGCAATCTACTTCCATAAACATTTACTGCTTCAGAAACCCAAAAGAGGTCACTATGAGTTGGAATCGACTTGCTGGCAGTGAGTGTGATTTTTTGAGATTTTAAAACATGTCATTAGACTGATTATGTCTCCTTGTCTTAGTCCATAATATATGAGAATTTCTAATAATTTGTGCCTTACTCCCTGGCTGCTCGCAAGCTTTGAAGACAGAAGTCACTACTTACTGAAATAGGATACAAAACACAGTCTTTGTGGACTATGTTATCTCAGTTGATCTAGATGTCCCCCGAAACTGTAGTCCTAAACGCAGTGTGTCATTCCTCAAGGTGTCTGATTATAACTAAGAAGTTTTTAGAACTTTGTTCCCAGTATAATCTACAGTATGCTTGGATATGTTAACAGCACATACAAATACATGTGTAGAAATATCCTCTGCCAAACCTATATATACTCATGGGTGTATTCACATATTTCTTCCCACATTTGTTCAGCTTGCATGTCTACCTATATATTTATTCACAGATGTTGTGTTATTACTATTATTGCAGGATTTTATCTACAATCATGATTACCTTTGTTGTCTCTCACTCTTGTACACCTCTCAGTGATTTCTAATGCCATTCCACTGTTGTGCTACCTTCCCCCTTATTGTATGTTGCCTTTCCTTTTATCCTCATTACTTAATTTTCATTTGTCTCAAAATGACCTAATTTCACCAACATATATGACGCGTAATTTTGCTGGGTATATAATTCTGTTTGCAATTATTTTTCTTTCAGGTCATGCCACTGCTGTGCTGCCCTATCCCTCATTGTATGTTTCCTTTTATCCCCATTACTGTGTGTCTACTCCATGTTGTTGTTGTTATGTGCCATCAAGTCAGCTCCAACACATAGCGACAACTCCTTGGGTTGCCGAGGCAGTGTCACCATGGAAGTAGATTGCCCAACCTTCCTTCCGAGGAGTAGTTGGTGAGTTTGAACCGCCAGCCTTCTGGTTAGCAGTCAAGTGCCTTAGGCATTATGCTACCAGACCTCCTGTCTACTCCATAGTCAGTGATTTACCATTCTTTCCCTTCCCATCCCTGCTAAGCATACCCCTTGATAGCCATCTAAGACTGTTTCTTTCTGTGTATTAATTTTTCTTCACTTTTTAAAACAGTAGTCTCATACAATATTTATCCTTTTGTTTTGTAGTTTTCTTTGTATAAGGCTTTCATGTCACTTGTTAGATTTACTCCTAAATACTTCTTCAAAAGTGTCTATTGTAAAAGGTATTGATTTGTTGGTTTCCTTTTCAGGGTTCTCTTTGTTAGTGGAGAGGAATCTGTCTGATTTTTGCATGTTACTCTTGTTCCCTGACAATTGGCTGAATTCTTTTATCAGTTCTGATAGGTTTCTTGTTGAATCTCTGGGATTTTCTATGTACAGGATAGTATCACTTGCAAATAGAAATAATTTTATATCTTCCTTACCTATCTGGATAACTTTTATTCCCTCCCTTATCTTACTGCTCTGCTTAGGACTACTAATACAATGTTGAATAGGAGTGGTGACAAAAGGCATCTCGTCTGATTACCACTCATAGGGAGAACGCTTTTGGTCTTTCTCCATTAAGAAGAAAGTTGGCCATAGGTTTTGTGCATATGCTCTTAATTACGTTGAGGAATTTCCCTTTTATTCCCATTTTACTAAGAGTTTTTTATCAGGAATATGTGTTGAATTTTGTCAAATTCCTTCTCTGCATTGATGGAGGTGATCACATGGACCTTTTCCTTTGTTTTATATACATGGGAGATTATGTTGATTGTCTTTGTAATGGTAAACCATCCCTGCATACTTGGTATGAATTCCACTTTGTCATGATGTATTATTTTTCTGATATGATGTTGGATTTCATTGGCTAGGACTTTGTTGACAATTTTTATGTCTTTACTCATGAAAGATCAAACAAATCCACTGCCATTGACTCAAGGCTGCAAATTTCTACAAAAACAGACTACCTCTTCTTCCTCCTACAGAGAAACTGGTGGGTTTGAACCATTACCCTTTTGGTTGGCAGCCCAATTCCTTCAGTACAGTGCCACCAGACTTCTTTGCTCATGAGAGATGCTAGTCTTTTTTTTTTTTTTTTTCCTTGGTGTCTTTCCTTGGCCTTGGTATCAGGGTTATGCTTGCTTCATAGAATGAATTGGAAGTAAAATTGGTGACAGCTCTTCTCTGAATATTTGGTGGAATTATCCAATGAAGCATCTGTGTCAAGGCTTTTGTGTTGTTGTTGGGAGTTTCTTTTCTTTAAAAAAAAAAAAAGACTTGTTCAACAACTTATTTGGTTATGGTCTGTTCAAATTTTCTACCTCAAATTGTATTCGCGATCAACATGGTGTCATTGAGAAAAAGGTTTAAAAAACAAACAAAAAAAATGTACTCCTTTGGGTAGGTAGTATGTTTCTAAAAACTTGTCCAATTATAAATGCCTTTAATTTTTGTTTTGTCTCAAAATGACCCAATTTCACTAATATATATGATGGATAATTTTGCTGGGAATATAGTTCTTGGTTTGTGATTCTTTTTTTCTTTCAGGTCATCCCATTGTCTTCTTATCTGCATGATTTCTGCAGAGAACACAGAGCTGAGCCTTATCAATTCTCGC